AGAATATATGCAGTGTATTATTTGTTGAAACTGTACTTCCGATTTGATTTGAAACTGTCTCATTGCTATCTGTTTATCAATAAAACTTTGAAAAAAAATTGTGAGCTCTATGTGGCTCCACCTCTATGGCACCTTTAGTGGTAGCTCCTGTGACTTTTCTCCTGGGTCCATTTTGCTCCCCTTTTGTAACCTGTTTTAGATGATGTTTTTGGCTTTTTTTAAACTTTTGGGGTCTCTACTGCACATTAGGCTTTTCACTCTCTGCTTCACATGCTGCCCTCTCAGGGGCACACTGCCTGGCCTCCTAGGACTTCTTCCCCCCCGCCAGATAGTTCTCACAAGTTTATTAAAATCAGCATCTTTAACCTTCTCTTCAGTGTACATCCATCCGATTACCTACAATAGAAGACATCAGTTTTAACTCTATTTCCAGAGTTCAACTCACAAAATACTTGGGGAATACAAGGACTTCTGAAATTTAGGTGTAAGCCTTTTTAACCATAGAACTCTGATGTTTTGCATGTACCTAAAACCAATGCCATGTGGAGGATGCCAAGATCTGTTCCCCCCTGGAGCAGTAGCCAGGCTTTCTTCTCTCTTTGCTGTAGGTATCTAGTACCTGGATTGCTGATCACTCAGACCCTGATTATGAGGAAGAAATTTTCTATGTTGCCACCATTTTGGAAGCTAGTGTGGCTGCTGGTGCAATTCAGAAACAGAGAAAGCTCTGTGGCTTTCTCCTCAAAGCAAATTCGTTCACCTCTGCAGCTTTGAGGCTGCAAAGAATGGAGACCTGTTATTTTTTTTTTTTGTGATGTCCATAGGCTTTCCCCCCACCCCCCAGTGGAGATGTTCTCAGCTCTATTTTAGCAGTCTACAGCTTTATTGGCACTACCTTTTTGTCCAAACTCAGAATATTTTAAATTATCCTATTGGGGTTTTTGCTCTTGATTTTTATCATAAATCTGACTAAAAGCCTCCAACAATTGCCATACAACTATCCTAACATTTGACTGCCTTGAAATTTTTTGGCTAGATTAATCAGTCTGCTACACTTAATCTCAGTTTTAGGCAAAGTCTCTGGACACAAGCAAAATTTGGACAAACTTTTTTCCAAGCCATAACACCCATCATCTGGAGTTCAACAACCAATACATTCCTTCTTCCCAGAAGAAACCTGCCCTGCCTGGTCTTTACAGGCAGGAATTGTATTAGCATTTTGAACTTCTGAGCCCTGATCAAAATCCCCCATACAGAACATCCGAGGGCCTTCCAGTGCTTCTCTTTCAGGTGTCATTTTTAAACCTTTTTTTTTTAATCTCTTCTCATAAGCATGTGTAAAGGCTCTTGAGTGATATGGTCACAGCAATAGTCTTACTCCAGTCATCAAATTTTGTTTTGGCTCTTTGTTGTTGTTGTTGTTGTTGTTGTTGTTAAGACAAAATATCTAATACCCAAAATTAAGAAAGAAAAGGTTTATTTAGCTCACAGTTAATGGAGGTTTTAGTCTATATTTGGCTGGCTCTAAGGCAGAGTAGCACGTGGCAGAGAGTGGTGGAAAACAGCAAGGAGCAAAGGGGAGGAGCACTGGCTGTGGCAGCTAGCAAATATCTTTGTAAAATCTTTATATTATATTTAGTCTGTCTGCCCCAGGTTGGGTGTAGCATCCATACACATAATCTCAGCATTGAATCATGAATTAATCACAAACTCTAGAAGCCTGTCCCAGTGACTGCATGAGGCACTGGAAGTACAACTAGACACAAATCATAAATCACCCCCATAATCAAGTGCCCTTCCAAAGGCCTCACCTCTGAACATATGAAATTTGGGGAGTATCTTTTATCTAAACCATACATACACATTTGTCTCTATCTTGAAATTAAATACTTCGAAGCGCTGTTGACACTTTTTCTTAGCATTTAGGTAACTTTTACACTATTTTAGAAAAATTACAGTGAGAGAAAACACAAAGGGTAATCTAGTTTTGGGGATTTTTTTATGTATTTGGTACAGGGTCTCACTGTGCAGCTCAGACTCACAGTGATGCTCTTGTCTCAGCCTCCCCTGTGCTAGATTACAGGTGTGTGCCACCACACCCAGGCCCAGTGGCCGGCTCAGAGTGCCCAGGGGCAGGGCCAGTGCCAGGATCAAACGCTGTCCTTGCACCTGCCTAGGCAGGTTCTTAGTCTGCTGAGCTATCTCACCAGCCCTAGTTTTAGTCTTATGGAGTTATTCAGACGGAGGATTATTAATGTTCCTCCACTATTCAGAGGCCGGTAAAGTAATTATTTTTTAGGTCTACTACTTTCCAGTTTGAAAATACATATAGTGGAGGCTTGGTTTCTAGGGCTAGGAAGAGTAGGACTGTCATCCTAGCAAGACTGTCTCTAGCACTGAGATCTTGGTGAGGTATTAAATCTTTCCAGACCCCAGTTTTCTGTTCTGTAAAGTAGAGACAGTAGTAGTATTTATTCACAGCATGGCATCACTTTACAGAATTACTGGAGACAATGCTTACAAGAGTACTTATCACAGTACTTGGCCCATGTGAATGCCCAGTAAGGGTTAGCTGCTGCTATTGTTGCCATCACTATTCAGATGAACAGCCATCACTGCAATAGAGCAGTAAGGCTGAAAACGATAGCTGCACGTGTTGTTTGCACTCTTTCCCATGAAGCGAGAGCTTTTCATTCCTTGCATCCACTGTGACTCCTCAAGATGAAAAAGGTGGGGACATGGGAGGGCCAAATATTGCAAAGTGGTGTTAGAGGAAGAACTAGGTCTTACAGTCTTGACTTCTAGATAAACAGGCGCAGACTTTAGCCATGTGATTGTACCTCACCCTTCTTGTCACCAGCATCTCATCTCCTTGCTCTTTCCTTAGGTGGTGACCATCACTGATCTTGAGGGCTTGGCTCTGGGACAGGAATTCTCTATTGAATGGACTCTCCCAGTCAGTGACCTGGAGAAGTTCAGCTGCTACCCAGAGAACCCTGCTTCTGAGGAGAGCTGCAGGCAGCAGGGGTGCCTTTGGGAGGTAATGCTCAAGAACAGCAACGTACTGAGTTGCAAAAATGGCCCAACAAGCACCTAGGAACTTAGAAAATGCTTTTTGCATGTTGATGGCTTGAAGTGTATCACAACAGCATGCCGTGGTGCATCTTGTCTGCATGATGGGTGATCACTGTGTCCATCAGATATTCTGAGTCAGAAGAAACTCATGTCACTCTCATTTTCTCTCCAGCTACAGCATTCAAAATCCTATTTGAGGTCATAGCATACACTGGGTGTGAACTGTGTGTGGAGTAGTTTAACTGAATTTCTGTCTCATCAGTCTATTGGAGAGCTCAAAAGGAAAGATGAGATAAGGCTCCATTTGAGCATGAGATACTGAGAATGAAAGCCAGGAAAAGGTAGTGATTCCCTCTTGACTGGATCGTGTGTAGAAAGTTCTCTGGTAGTAGGACCCTACCAGAGGGTTCCATTCTCCAGATTGGAATGTTCATATCTTTACAATTCTGAAGTCTAGGAGCATAAGATTAAGGTTTCAGGATTGCTTCCGTATGAAGACAGTGAGGAAGTGTTCCCCATGTTTTGTGCTGAGCTGCTGATGGTGTGCTGCCAACATTTGGCCTGTGTTAATTGGTGCCTGAGTCACTCTGCTCTCTGCCTTCATGGTCATGTGGTGTTCTCCTGTGTGTAATTGCCACTGTGTCCAAACTTCCTCTTCTCACATGGTCACCAGTCCAGCATAATGATTTCAACTTCATAGGATCATTTACAAAGATCCTATTGCCAATGAGTTGTATTTACATATTAGGGCTCAGGACTTTGAGAGGGGAACATAATTCAACCTATAACAATGGGTAAAGCTGTCTAAGACTGAGTCCGTGTGGGTCAGCCCCTTCAGTAACCAGAGTCTTATTAGTGTCAGAGGATAACCAAGGATCCCTCCTGTTTTTCCAGCACACAACTACTCCTGGCGTGCCCAGCTGTTACTATGACACCATCCCTCGCTATGCTGCCAGTGATATTCAATACCTGCCCACGGGTATCACCACAGACCTTACGCTCCTGGGGACCAGGGCATCGGCACGGGCAGCAGCAGGTCCATTGTCACCGGCAGCAGCCTCTAGGGTCACAGATCCTCTCTCTGGAGAGATCAGTTCCCTCAAATTGAGTGTGATCTTCCACACAGAGAACATGCTGCAGGTCAAGGTAATTCCCATGCTGCCAGTTTGGTTCTCAGAATGGAGTTTCTAACTCTTAGCTATAGCTCTGTACAGATGGAAGTCAAAGAAAGACCTTTCGTTCCAATCCTTCATTTACCCACGCAGGAGCTAAGACCTAGGAGGGTAAAAGGTCAGAAATCTGGTGGATAGGACCTTAGATCCACTGGGACTGTGAAGCTTCTATAATGATGAATACACTTTGAAGAATCAGTCCTTAGTCCTTTGTGGTCAACACATGTGCAAGGCATTGGCTGACCTAACATTTGTAGCTATTATCTACTAGTGGCTTCTAGTTGATTGAGTTAACACCTCCCTCTGATGCAGGTGTTAACCCTGATCTCCTGCTTGCTAGGCAAGTGCTCTAACATGGAGCCACACAGCCAGAATCTTATTGGTGTCAGTGACCAGAATCATACTGGTGTCAGAGGATAACCAAGGGCAGCAGGTTATCCTGCCTAGGCCCATTGGCTTTCAAATGTTAGCAGGCTTCAGAATCACCTGCATCTTTTTAAAACCCAAATCGCTGGGGTTCACTCAAGGTTTCCAGTTCTGTTCATCTGGGCTGGGCATCTCTGAGAATTGTTGTTTCCAAGGATTCTCAGCCCCTGCTGATGTAACCTCAAGGGACCAGGCTCTGAGATCCACCACTGTTCTTACAATGCGAGCCACAAAAGTTTCCTAATGGGAGTATTTTTAAAATGTATTTGAAAAATGCTAAGTACAATTAATTTTAGCAATATTTTCATTAAACCTAGATGCTAAAATGAATTTTATTTCATCTTGGAATCCAAGTTTAATTATGGAGATATTTTGCAATTTTTTAATCTTGATGTCCTCAGATTCTAGTGTGTATTTTGCAAGGAATGCCAATTTAGACTAGCTCATTTCGGGTGCTCAGTACCCAAGTGGGGCTGGTGGAGACAGGCTCGTGCAGCTCTTCTGTCAGCACTGCTTCTCACACCTGAATGTGTGGCGAGTGACCTTGCTGTGAAACGGGAGGTCTGGGTCAGGGGCTGAGCATCTGCAGTTCTCATAGGATACCAGGCAACTGTTGCTGCTTTTGATTGAGAAATGGAGATTTTAAAAGCAGAGCTTTAGAGAAAACTTCATGAGAGTGTAAGATGTGGGGTAATCATAGTACAAAGACGGGGACAGTCACTTGTGATGGGGATGCCCCCTGTCCTTTTGTTCCATTTCACTCTACTTGTTTGTTCCACTGACCAGGCCTGCTAGGCAAAGAGGAATAAGTGGTGGATGCTAAAAAGACGGCTTAGCAGTGGGAAGGCTGGACATCTGGAAGCTCAAATAGTAAAGACACCTCAGCACCCACATGAAGGCTCAGTTCTCTGGTCCCTTACACTCACACATACTTTCACTCTTAATTTTACCCAGTTACACCCACATAGTGTTTGTGTAGCACGCATCCATAGACACACATTCAACCTACAAGGTCCTACATGCTTAAATCGCAGGTTCTCTGTAGGACGTGCCCTCACTGGTTCCAAATGGGGATTACAGAGGCATTTTCGTAGTTCAGGATCTGGGCCAGATCCAGCAGGATGATAAGCCTTACAGCTACTTACTTAGGGGCTCCTGATGCCTCCTGTTGTGCTCCAAACTAGTGAAAAAATAGGAACTGACTATAGGGACTGAGGTAGGAGTTTGGGGTTTAATGTTCTATCAGAAAGTTTCCTTCTATCTCTCTGGCAGATCTGTGATTCCACTGAACAAAGGTATGAGGTCCCGGTGCCTCTGAACACCCCTCCCTCACCAAATGACTCCCCTGAGAGCCGCCTGTATGATGTCAGGATTCAGACCAATCCTTTTGGAATCCAGGTTCTACGGAAAAGCTCCGGCACTGTGATGTAAGCATGGTTTATGTGGCGCTAATTATAATGGAAATGGAGTTAGACAAGTGAAATATTCTCATAGATATCTATAATATAGTTATGTGTGATTATTGAAGAGTATCAATTTCCTCCTACTTCATTAGGGGATTTATTCTTTTTTTTTTTTTTTTCTCCGAATGCCTTCAGGGCGGTTTGGCTGGCTTGGGTTCTGGGGATCGAACCACAGCAACCTGAGCCTGACTGCTTTGTTGAAGCAGCCACTTAAAGAGCTGAGCTAAGGGGCAGGCCCCCAGGGAATTTATTCTGTATTAAATATTAACTCAAAAATCAAAGTTTTAAAAAACTAAGTGCTGTTTGATTTCAGAAGGAGAAAATGCATGTTCTATTTGTTCTTGTTAAGTAGAGTAGAAAACTGTTCAGTAAATACAACAGGAACATAAGATACGAATCTGTTCTGTATTGTGCATCATTAAGAAATAATTACTAAAGAGCTGGAGGAGCTGGAAAGATTATTAAGGAAAGAAAAGACAGTTTTTCTAGACTTTGCTTCTATTGACACCTAAGCTTGAAGCTGAGTAGTACCATTAGGCATAGAAGGAGCTGTCAGTTCCCTCCCACCCGCTATCCTGCTATCCAACATCTGACTTCTGCCTGCGGGGAGGGTCTCAGCACAGTAGAGGTTGTCACAAGTACACATGTTTTTCCTCCTGGGTAGGCTTCTACAACCAATTTTCTGTTACTCTCTTTGGTAAGTACTCTAGAGAAGTTTTAAAAATTTTACACTTTTCTATTGGAAAGCATTGTTTAGACCTCATTCATCTATTCACATGTTTTCAAGCTGGTGTGCCAGGCACTGAGAACCAACAGTAAAGAGACGAATGAGACGCAGTCTTTGCCCACAACCAGCCCATGATCCAACAAAGATCTCAGTCTTGCAAACCACAGAATAAAAATGCAGGCATGGAGCTTTGGTGCCGAGCTGTGGCTCTCGTTACAGCCAGCACCGTCCCACACCTTTACACTCACACCCAGATGTTTAGGAAGGCAGGCATCTCACATGTGCTCAGAGCTGGCCAGGCCAGCGATCTCCAGCTCAGCATGGGGGGTGTCTTGTGTTGCAGTTGGGATTCTCAACTCCCCGGCTTCATCTTCAGCGACATGTTCCTTTCCATTTCCACTCGCCTCCCCTCTCAGTACATCTATGGCTTTGGGGAGACTGAGCACACGATGTTCAGAAAAAACATGAGCTGGAGCACTTGGGGGATGTTTGCCCGTGATAACCCACCAGAGGTAAGAGCAGGAATGAAATTAGCAATCTGTTTCTCCTGTGTAAGTTTATATTCTTTTGCCCACAATCAACGTCCTGTTCATCAGCTTTATGTAACATTGATGAATTCTACTCTTGCTTGTAAGAGGCTACCCATCATACTCTTTTGTCTGTAAAAGATGTGCAGATATAAATTTGAAACTTTTATTTAATATAGTATGTGTCTTGCAGATTGTTGAGTGCCTAGCTGCAACTTTAATAAGATTCTCTCTTTGCTCTTCAGAGGCTTACAGGCTAAGGATGATAGGTGTGGAAACAACAACAGCACAGTATAATTGGTACTGTGATAGAAGTATGTAGTAATAAAAAGGGAGGACAGAGGGAGAGGATGGGGTAGAAGGCAAGGCCAAAGAAGGCTCAACCAAGAATGTGACATTGAGTTGCGCCTCTAGTGTTGAATGAGTTTGCGGTCTGGGTAACAGTGTGAAAACGATTTACTAGCATTTCACCTCCTTGGCTTTCATCACCAGTACAAGAAGAATTCCTATGGTGTCCATCCCTACTACATGGCGTTGGAAGAGGATGGCAGTGCCCACGGCGTGCTCCTGCTGAACAGCAATGCCATGGGTAGGAGAGCGGTGCCTTGCCCGTACACTGCCAGCACCAGTTGCAGCTGATGTATTGGGATCAGGGATATCATTATAAATAATTTCAGGGGCCAAAACATATGAATAGATAAATTGATCTTCCATTATTCATCCATTTATTCAAGATTCATTAAGTGTTCTAGATCACCTATTAAGTATAACATTTTAAGGAGGCCAGGGAGACGGCTCAGTAGAGTAAGTACTTCCCTGGCAAATGCAAGGGCCTGAGTTCAATTCCCAGTTCCACAAAACAAACAAACAAACAAAAAAAAACCAACAACAACAACAACAACAACAACAACAAAAAAGAGTAACATTTTGAGCCACCATAGCCCCATATGTTGCTGGATCACTCTAGCTTTCTTTCACAGGATGATATAAATTGTTGAGAATGCAGAGTGTGTTTAGAATACCTGAAAACTCATCTCTGATTTTACTGGGTAAGAAATGGCTTATTGGAGGACCGACGCAGTAAGAAATAAGAGTAAAAATGACAAATTTGAGGGCAAATTCCCTAGCGGGGTTAACTTACAGCTCCATGGATTCTCTTCATCTACTTTCTGTTTTTTATTTTATTTTACAGATGTGACACTCCAGCCCACACCTGCCCTGACATACCGCACCGTGGGAGGGATTTTGGACTTTTACATGGTTTTGGGACCAACCCCTGAGCTTGTAACTCAGCAATACACTGAGGTTTGAAGCCATTCTGCCCACTACTGAATTGCTAAATATTCATTTGATATCATAAAGCATGTTCTGAACATTCAGATGTACTTTTTTTTTCTTTTTAGCCAGGGGCGTCCCTACTCAATTATGTATTTCTTAAAAGTCAGATTCTAATCTTTCAGGTACCGAAGGCACCTCTGTGCCCTCATTGTCTCTCAATTGCTTGCTGCTGAGATCATCTGAGAATCTAATCAGAACAACCACCGATTCTTGGGTGTCCTAGAGGGATGGCCCTGTAGAAATCAGGGAAACTTTAATTGTAACACTTTCACCATTCTGCATCTCCAAGATTGTTCTTACTTATTTGAGCTTTTTATTTTTCTTGAGTGGGGCCTCATACATGAGAAATACTTAGTAGAAATGCTCACTAGTTGTTTCAGTTATGAGCTAGTCACCTCTTTCTTCCCCTAAAAGTTTATTTGGATCAATTTTCTTTGCTCTTGAAAAGTTTTAATATATATATATATATATATATATATATTGCACATATTTGTAAAATATGACATGATACTTTGGTACAAGTGTTCAAAGTATGATGATCAAAAATCACTTGCCCTTTTTCTATTCTAGTTGATTGGTCGACCCACAATGATTCCGTACTGGGCCTTGGGATTCCAGCTGAGTCGCCATGGATACCAGAATGATTCTGAAGTTTCCAGTTTGTATCATGCAATGGTGGCAGCCCAGATTCCCTACGTATGAAATTCAGCTCTCATAGTGTCACTCACCTTCTGTTTTCTAGTTCTGAGAATTTATATTTTATATTGAAAGCAGCCCCATAGGAATTATTCTTCTTTAGTATAAAAAAATATAGTCATGGGCTGGTCCTGGGTGGAATGCATTGCTTTTTAACATTACTACTGGCTACTCTTTAGATCAAAGGTCAGAACAAAGAGCTGCATAAATCCTCCAGTGGTTGGTAGAAAGAGGATATAGTCACTTACTTCCTCTTAATGTGGTATCCTGCAGTAGCCACAGCTGGGTTTAAGGAAGCAGGGAACTTGGAGAGATGGCTATAAAGCAACAGTTTGAAAAGAAACACTTAGGAAAACCCCTTTATTTTCTCTGACGCACATACCCATATAAGTTTATATGCTGTCTAACTTCCCAAGGGAGCCCTGAGAAATATATAGCCTAGTTAATTATTGTCAACAAGCAGAGTTTACCCAAATAGAACACTCCTCTCCTTGTGATTGTTAGTGTTTCATTAGTCAATAATCTTTTCAGCTTTCCTAAGATTGTGGAGGACAATAGATGAAATCAAGGGGCTATGATATTCTCATCAAAGATAACTTGACATATGTATCATGTATTAATGTGATATATATATTATATATCATACATATATATCAACGGAAATGAGAAAATACAGGAAAATTACAAAAAGAAAAATCCATAGATCTATCTTATTAAAATGATCTGTGCTAATAATATGCCAGTTCATTCTTATTCAAGTTTTGGCTTGAAAAAATTTGGCACAAATTTCCCTTTCTCCAAACAAGTTTTACCTGGAGGCTAAGACAGTATAAGTGATTATGACCATCAGCCTTTAATGTTTGTTTCTTTTTTCACCCTAATATTAACCACACTATCATTCAGCAAACTTTCATTGAGTGAAATTAAATTTCCATAGAGATAAATATTTCAAAACCTTGTTTGGTACTGTGAAAAGGGAGAGTCCTTTATATACTCTAGAAAACTGTAAAATAAAATAGTTCTGAAATGAATAAATTCAGTAAGGTGTTTTAGAGGAAAAATCATCTACATCTATAATCTTCTTCCTTAAGCCACTCTTCCTCTCTATGCTTGGCCATGTCCACCAGTAGTTTGATGGGCTCACTGAGTCTGAGATTTGAGGAGAAAGAAAGACATGAATTAAGGAAGGAACGGGGAGGAGTTCTAGGTGGGCAAACGGAAGGGAAAATGGGAACTGGGGGCTGGGAACACAAACAGGAAGCAGGGTCAGTCAGCAAACTGAAGGAGCGGCATCGGGGGCAGTGAAATGGGACATTAAGAAGCCCTGGGCCCTGGGTGGGTGGTAGCATGTGGGGTCAGGTAGAGCAGGGGGTGCATCCTGGGGCTGCTGCAGGACCCCGGGGATCTCGATGCTCCTTCCTCTAGGATGTGCAACATGTAGACATCGATTATATGGACCGGAAGCTGGACTTCACCGTCAGCCCCCGCTTTCAAAACCTTGGTCTCCTGATTGAGCAAATGAAGAAAAATGGCATGAGATTTGTTCTCATTCTGGTAGGTGTTGAGGCTGTTAGAGGCCTTTTGGGTTTCCATATTATCACTCAAAAATAATAACACACAAAGAAATCAGATAAAGGTACAAGGAATCTTCCTGTACACTTTTGGCAACTTGTGAATCTGAAATTAAATTTTGGGTTTGAAATACCCAAGTAGAGAACAGGTGAAAGTGGCTTTTAAAAGACAGTATTTTGAGATACTGCATTTCTTTTTCACAGCTGAGTGTTCCTGGAATGCGGTTCACTAATGGAGCATAATTAGTTTAGTAGAGCGGAAGAGCTGGGGGCAGAAACACGGAATACACATGTCATTTGTCTCACTGGCACAGTTATGTCTTAGAAACAACAGCTCCATCTTTACTCTCGTCTTTCCCCAGGAGGTTGAACACCCTTAAGCTGTAGCATCACTGAGCAGCGATGAACCCCAGAGAACTTACTGCTCATTTTCTATGCTCACGAACAAATGAGTTAGGATCCAACATCCCGGGCTGAAGTCTGTACATCAGTCTCGCTGAACTGCTCACGCTGGGTTCAGGCTTTTCCTGGCTTTCTCTCTCTTTGTCTCGCTGTCTCTCCAACCCCTTTCCTCTCCCCTCCCCTTCCTTCCTCCCCGCCCTCTCCCCCTTGTCTGCCTGTTCCTGCCTTGTGCTCTCTTCCTCTCTCTGGGCCTCATGAATGCTAGATAAGCGCTCTTCCACTGCCCTGAAGGCGGTGCTGTACTTTCTAAGATGAGTGGTGGTTAATCAGTATTCAGTTTACCATTAATCATTAAAATACTCTGATGATAATTTTCTCAAATTCTGAATAACTGTGCTTTTATATGTAAAAAGCCAGAAAACTTACTATTTTGAATTAAAAGCTATATATTGATAAATATGGAAGTAGCTGCAGATATTTCCCTTCTTCCAACATCTAAACTAAAATTAGAGTGTGATTTTAGTTGAATTGTTTTCTTACTAATTCAAGGATTTACTACTACTGGCCATTTGAAAATCACTGTTCTAGATTTGTGTGTGTGTGTGTGTGTGTGTGTGTGCATGCGTGCATGCATGTGTGTGTATGTGTGTGTATGTGTGTGGTCTAAATTAATGAGTAGGCCAATGTCTTCTTTTCTGAAATGACATTTATTCTAATGGATTAAAACAGTGGATAAACAAATGTTAAAATGATAATTTCAGGTAGTGGTGATTTGTATGACAATTGTGAAGTAACATAATGTAGAAGGATGTTAAGGGAGATATGAGATAGGGTATTAGAGTAGACACGAGATAGGCACTTTCAGATGAGCAACTTGAACCACAGAATAGAATAAAAAAGTTTCATATTTAAAAGGACTATTGGTATTTTGTTCTTGAAATGCAATAAATTTGCTCTGTCTGCTTGAGGGCAATGTCTTATTAAACTAGTTTAGCTCTTGGGGTTGTTTTCAAACATAAACAGTTTTTTCTCAAGAATTTTATGAAGAAAATCAATATACTCTTTTACCTCCCAACACTCTCTCATTTTAAATAGATTTTGATATTATTGCAAGAATCAGTCATGTCAAGTCGTATTTCAATTGTGACAGGTTTTTTTTCCATTTCATTAGTTAGGTGCTAGGTGGTTCCTTTCTATAATATAGACTCTTTTATTTATTGTCAGATTCTTAATGCCTTTGACAAGGATTGTGCTTCTAAAGGGCATGCATCTTATTTTGGGCTCCAAAGGCAACTTTCCATTTCAGTTGGTTAGGGTAATATACACAGTAGGTGTAAATCAAATTATCCATGGACATATATTTATTTATTTGTTTATTTATTTCTATACTATGAATTACCAAACTTCTTGAGAGAAATATCCTTGGAGACATTTAAAACGTTTTCACTTTCTCTGTTTTAAACACTTTCACTGTAGGACCCAGCAATTTCTGGCAATGAGACACATTATCTCACATTCACTAGAGGACAGGAAGACAATGTATTCATCAAATGGCCTGATACCAATGACATTGTATGGGGAAAGGTAAGGCTTGGGTCATGGGTCTGTAATTAATGAAAATCTTTACTAAAAGAAGTTTTCAGTGAATGTTGGAATATACTCAGGGAAGTTAACTAATTATGAGATTAAACAGTATCTGATGCTGATCAGCTCAATAAACACTAGTAAAATGAAGGCTATAGATCTGATTTTCTAAAACATTGAGTGTAATGTTATAGCCTGACAATATTCTGATGTCCTCACTATGCATTCTAGCCAGCCATTTAACAACATGAAGAACCCCTCAGAGAGTGACTCTGAAATCTGTACTTACCAGACACCTCAATTTAAAACGTGTTTCCCTTTGACCTATGATGAGTGGTCAACCTCTTAGCTGACCGAGCCACTAAGTCTTATGATCTGTCCCTTCGCACCTGGAATTCCTCCGTCCTCATCCACACGTCTGACTCATAGCAACAGTACTTAAAATAGATGTCTTCACTGCAGAGGATGGTGCCTCTTAGTCTGGATTCCAACTCTCTGGCTTAATGCTGCCTCTGTGTTCTCTGCTCACTTTGCATACTGCCGTCTCAGTTTGCCTAGATACTATTGCACGTCAAAAGCAATCACACGTCCCATCTTGCATAACTATGTCTGTTAATCTGAGCAACAGATCTGATGATAAAAATGGATAATATATCAATCACTGTTAATTAGCTATTCTTTTTTGAAAATCTGTAACATATGTATTGTTGTATGTTACTGTGTTTCGGTCTTTGCTTTTGCTTTTCTTGCTCTTGGTTTTACTCCTCAAAATAAAAGAAAATTATAATTTAAAAAAAGAATAAATCTCATCCCTTGTGAAGCACTCAATAACTGTCCTACTCTGTGCCATTGCCCTCCAGCAGGTAGCATACAACATAGTACTTATGTACGAACTATCTGTAAATGCTGGGGGAAAAAACATCAATTCTGAATTAAATCTCCATAGGGATAAATGTTAGAAGAATACTTGGTATAGGATAAGACTCAGTAATGTTTTCAGGTTAAAAAAAGAAAAAAAATACACACACACACACACACACACACACACACACACACACACAATGTCCTACTACTTAACAGATAAAATGAAATACTATACTACTAAATACTAGTGATACCATGAAAATGTAAATGCTACTGTACTGGTGGCCCTCAGTAAACTGTGATATTGTTTAAACATATTGGAACTAAGTTTATGGGCTGTGAATGGATACTAATTTTATTTTTTCAGTCATGCTTCATATTTGTTATTTATAAAAATAATTTTGTTATAGACAAAATGAAAGACAGATGAGAGAGCTGAGAAATCATTTGAAAGAGTTTTCAGAAGAGACATCAAAATAAATTTACTTATTAAGTTCAGAATATACAATCATAAAAACACTTAACAAAATGAATCAAGAGATGCCACTTACTTGCGCCAAGCAAAATTTCCTGCATTCTGCATTCACAATTTAATTTATGATAAAGATACCCTTTCGTCTTGTGGAAATGTTCATCATCAAGTCTAATAGAAGAAACATCTCATGGCCTATATACCAAGACTTTTAAAGGTTTCACTTTTTCTTCTTACTCTCTAGGTTTGGCCAGAGCTACCCAATGTCAATATAGATGAGGCCCTTGACCACGAGACTCAGGTTAAGGTACAGTTTACATAGATTTTTGCCTGCATTGTCCTAAATAACTGAACACTTACGTGGTTTACCAAGGTGAATAGCAGCGTATCCTCTGCTCAAGTAGCTCCAAAGTGAGTGTGCTCATCTGCTGATAATTTTTGGTAGAAAGCAATCGTAAAATGAAAAAATCCAACAACTAAAAGAGAGCTTTACAGGAAGAAATCATCAATGAAGTCCCTGACATGTATTCTTCAATGGACTGTGATTTGAAACCATTGCTGCTTGACAAATAATGAACCAAAGTCTAGAATATTTGCGCTGGAATGCTATGCTGGATTTTAGTATGTTACCTAGATAACCCCCAACATGTCAGCCAGTGGAAAAAATAGGAGGGCTTGGTCTTGGCCACTGCTTCCATGTCGGCCTGTTATGCCAACTTCACAATTGTGCAGCCAGCTCCTCCCCAGATGCTGAGCCCTTTTTCATTATAGTTGGCCAGTCTAGAAAAATTGTTATTTTAAAAGTTTGATTGCTTCAATATTAATTGTTCACTTTCCAGTTCCCATGATTGAAAGTCTAATGACAAAATAAGTCCCATGGTTAAGAGGGAATTTAAAACTTAGAAATCTTTTTCTAAGAAAATTAAGTGAGAAAGCAACCCTTCCCTACACAGTAAATTCAGCAGCAGTGACCAGCTGAGGTATGATCAGAGACTGATCTGGGTAGACACAAATAGCTGCTTATCTTTCCTTGCTGGTCCCAGGGCCCCCTTTCTTGGATGGGTGGAGACCCCAAGAGAGTATGTGTTGCTCTTGCAGCTGTACCGGGCCCACGTTGCTTTCCCCGACTTCTTTCGTAGTAGCACAACTGCATGGTGGAAGAATGAGATACAAGAGCTCTACACAAACCCTCGAGAACCAGGGAAGAGCTTGAAATTCGATGGATTGCGGATTGTAAGTGGACCTCCATTGTTGATCTCCAAAAGTGTCAAGACTTGGGGGTTGGGCAACTCAGAGACTTGCAAGCCAGGAGTTGGGACTGGAGGAAAAAGAGTAATTCCCTTAAGAATCTAGGTGCCAGGACTAGAAACAGATTATAGTGGCTCTGCACAGGGATGTATTGTCTTGTGGAAGTTGTAGCTCATCAAGATGAACCACTGCTGGAAATGCCAGAGCACGCAGGAGATGGAAATGTTCTCTGGCCCCTCCTACCTGCAATGCTTCAACCTCTTGCCAGTGCCTCTCATTGGGCAAACCTGCCCAAAGGCTGGAAGCCTGTCTCACAGTTCAAGACAGAACTGGAAGCAGGAGAGGCATGAATCTGAGAGCTAAGAAGTTTGGCTTAGACCTGTAAAGGGCACCCTCAGGCTTACTGCCTCACTCAGCTGTGTGTTATTTGTGTTAATACCCCCAAAGCAGGCTTCCTGAAATGTCTGCTGGGCATGTGTCCAAGGGCAGCTCCTTTATGTGTGTTTTCTAGGGATGGGAAACGTATCGTTAACATCTTCTCTGGTATGCAGTTGTCTAGATTCTTAAGCAAATTCTAGGCCAACCATGAAGATCTGCTCAGGTCTGGGACAGGCTAAGAGAATCTGGGAATTCACTCAGAGACAAGCTATAAGCCCACTGGCTGCCTTCTTGGACACTTGAACCTTCAGGACAGATAGGTGCAGAGTAGATACATAAAAGGACACAAGTTAGCCAGAACAGGCAAATCAGATGAAGAAGAGATTTAGGTATCTTTGGGGAATAAGAGATTTTTGATTGCTGTTGGGTATTTGTTCCATCAGAGAGAATGCAGTAATTGAGTAACTCAGAATAAATGAGCCATAAATATTAACCTTTGCCTTTGGTATTTAAGATAGTAGTCCTGTTTAAGATAGTAGGAAATTTTAACTTACCTACTGACAAATATACAGTGAATATTTTCTTGTGGGCCCATACTCCTTGCATTTAAACTGTAAATTCCTCAATGTATCATTTTATTCTCAGACTTGTTTTTTGAGTTATGTATAGCTTTTCTGGAATGTATTTATAGCAGAAAACAAGACGCCTCATCTTGTGGCTGGTCTTGGCCTATGTCAAGCTTTTGGGTCGAAGAAGGGAAAATAAAGATCATAGTGATTTCTCACTACAGATACAAAGTGAATAAGCTATGGATAGAACACAGGCAGGCTCCTTGTGTCAAGTGGGAGGAACTGGAGATTCCCTTAAGTCCTGTATCAGCATTACCTCGATATTTTTGTCATTATTACACACCTTTCATATTTATAAAAATGCCAAAGAAGCTTGAAGGGATTTAAGGGCCCACTTAAAGTGACGTGGATTCTTACAGTCACTTTGGTCCCTGCCAGGCTTTCGGCAGAGTACGCTGAGCAGTACTCCCTGCCTGATGGGAGGGCTTCAGAGTAGCGCAGTCCTTTTTATGAAGTTAACGTCCTTCATCGCTAAGAAGATACTGCCCTCGACATGACAGATCTTTTGTGTTAACTTATTTCAGGGCATGAATGAACCATCAAACTTTGTGACTGGATCTGTTGTGGGTTGCCACAGTGAAATTCTCAATAACCCACCCTACATGCCATGTATGTAAAATATTTATCTTATAAAATTACTTTTTTGCTTGAAAACCCTAAGGTTTCCTCTTACTGTTCAAATGAAGCCAAATTCTGAGGGAAAGGGCATAGTTTCAATATGATATAGAATCTCTAACAGAATAACCTTGAATAAGGACAAATGAATAAATTACTAATCAAGTGTAGAAAAAGAATGTAATGTGGTATAGAAGAAACGAAGTAATACATTTGGTTATATTGATAACCATTAACTGATCACAAAATTTAATCCCTTATCATGCCCCCTCACTCCCCCACAAGAGCTACGTTAGGTTAGAAAGTAACCCAAAGTAAGTGAAAATGTAGTCCCTGAACATTCTGCCTATGTTCACAAACACTTCATGAACAAAGCATTTTGGCTGTACTGTATTACAAACAGAAAGAGGATGTTCAGATCAAAGATAGCACAGAAATGGAATTCTTTTATGTTACAGAGAGGAAGGATGCAAATGCATCCCTAAGAGCTCTGTGGCAGTGAATTTGTGAAGCTGAATCTAAAATCTGGATCACTGATGTGAAGCCCATTTCTCATTCATTCATTCATTCATTCATTCATTCATTCATTCATTCATTCATTCATTCACTCATTGTTTCCTTTTTAAAATTCATGTGCCAGGCAAATGCTGACAAATCAAAGATTTAGACATACAAAAATTGATGGAGGCAAGATTTATTCCCTTGAGAACAGTACCATCTAGTGGAAGATGCAGTCCTAACAGCAGAGGAGTTAGTCGTATTGACCAATGGGCTACGGCTGTGCTCAATTCAGTTAGAGTTGGAACTAAGAATACTTTTCCCAGCCCCTAAGTTGATTCTGACCCTTTGGCACTTACTAAGTCAAAAGGTATTGCTTTTGTGTAAAACAACTTAAGAAATCAGTCCCGTAATTGACAGCAAAGTTGTTGATTGAAACAGAGAAATACCAAAATGGTGGTCATCTCTAGCAAGCATGCAAATCCCCGATTGGGAAATAACTCAGTATTTCTCTTCAGATTTGGAATCTAGGGACCAAGGCCTGAGCAACAGGACCCTGTGCATGGAGAGTGAGCAGATCCTCCCGGACGGCTCCAGAGTGCGTCACTACGACGTGCACAGCCTGTACGGGTGGTCCCAGACCAGGCCCACCTACGAGTGAGTGTCCCCATCACTGGCAGCAAAGGCAGCTCACTACATTATTACTTCATCGTTGTATTGTGCCCATACCTACCTGATGCTAGAGAAATGGGTGAATTCCAGAAGATCAGGCCTGGTTGCCCATCCACGATACCTCTGAACGCATGTATCGTCTAAGTTGTTAAATGCACCTAAAGTGGTTAATGAGGTGATGTTGCAGGATATTTATGCTGTTGTGCACTTGTCATGAAAATAAGACATTAGCATGTTTTCATCACTACTGAGGGAAAGCTTTGAACGAACAGCAGGCGTTTCTGCCCGGGGCCCTTCTCTTGACTCTCCCTCCAGTAATGGGCTTTCTGTCTAGGTCATTGTCTGCTCTGTGCATGGTCTTTGGACAGTGGCTTTTATTATGCAGTATGTGGCCTTTTGGACTGGCTTCTTTCACTTGGTGTAGTGTTCTCAGGTTCCTTTATGTTACATTGTAGCATGTCTCAGGACTTCCATGCTTGTTGCTAATGGTTAATATTCATTCTACTGATGCCTCATAGTACGTTTATCAGTCAGGCAGTGGACATTTAAGGTATTTCTACTTTTTGACTGTTATGAATAGAGATGCTATGAACATTAAATGCAAACTTTTGAAAGAAAATGTTTCTTTTTCCTTGAAGGCATATCTTGGAGTAGACTTTTGGATTTTATGTTATTTTATTTATTTTTTTTTTTCAAAATTTTATTGATAAACAGATAGAAATGAGACAGTTTCAAATCAAATTGGAAGTACAGTTTCAACAAATAACACACTGCATATATTCTTCTTAGTGGTTAATTGCTGTACAAGATGCGGACTTGTGATCCTATTTACAA